TTTTTTTTGGAAAACCAAATCTTGCAAAGCCTACCAATCTTGCATTAGGCATATTCGGAGGTTGCTATATTCTCAGAAACTGGATTGCGCTCTTTTCTGAAAATCGCATCTTTACTCCGTTTTGCAAAATTTTTTCAAGATCGCAGTTTGTGAAGCGAAACTTTGCGGAACCTAGCCTAGATCTCGTTCATAATACTCTTCTGACATATCCTACTCATCATAAATCGACAGATATATACAAAAAAAAAAAAAAAAGGAAGTAGTCCTTTTTATTTTTATTTTTTTATTTTATCTGTTGATTAGGGCCGGAGGAAAGTATTGTTGGGTTGGTCCTACCTGCGTGTTTTCCTCCCACCCACCCCTTGCATGCATTCCGTTTCGGTATAGTGCCACGTCAGACAGCAGTGCCACGTCAGCAGTGCCACGTCAGCAGTGCCACGTCAGACACAGTGCCACGTCAGCAGTGCCACGTCAGCAGTGCCATGTCACACAGTGCCACGTCAGCAGTGCCACGACAGCAGTGCCACTTCGGCAGTGCCACGTCAGCAGTGCCACGTCAGCAGTGCCACGTCAGCAGAGCCACGTCAGCGACATGACGGGCCTGCCGGGACAGCTGGCCAATGAGACCATTGCCGACTACAAGAAGCGGTTCCACGCTCAACTCGCACTCATCGAGGCCGAGGAGCAACGCCAGCTGGCAGCCGAGGCAGCACGCCAACAGGCTGAAGCAGCAGCGACCACAGAGAAGCTGCGGCTACAGGCTGAAGCAGACGCAGACACCCAGGCCCGCCGCAAGGAAGCCCAGGGTCTGCTGCAGCGGCATGAAGCCACAAGCATCGAGAAGCTCAAGTTTTGGCACTTTGAACCAAACGGCGACGAGCCGACACCGGAAGAGCAGCACAAGGAGTTTCTCTCCAAGCTCGTRTCACGGCTGTTGTATACTTGCAACTACCAACAGGCCGAGCTAGAGAAACAGCACCAGGAGTTGGCAACGCTCCGCCGCACAGTGCAGACCCACGAGGATGCAACTCGGGCACTCAATGCCCGATTGTTGGACCTGGAACAGGCTGTACCAGGACCGGATGCTGGTGCGTCCAGCAGTGCACCCTCTAGCCGTCAACTGGAGGAACGCGTTGACCATGTGGTGGCCATGCTCGGCGACATCAGCGCCTTCGCTGCGCCGACCACCATCAGCAGCCAGCTGAACGCATTGAAGACCGAGGTTCAGAAAGTGCAGTCGACGAACTCGGATGACAATCCGAAGTTGTACAAGATGCCAACTTTCCAACTTGAGAAGTTCGACGACTACACGCATCAGGATCCGGTCCTCTGGTGGGAAGCATTCACGACACAGCTTCGCATTCTGCCTGTTGCCAAACATTCGTACATCGGCGCCCTGTTCATGAACTCAAAGGGCGGATGCCAGACCTGGTTGACCCACCTGGCAACCTCCCACGGCGTCGACGTACCAGATCTGAAGGACAAGATCACATGGGAGGAACTGACGCGGCTATGGAAGAAGAGGTTCATCGTCGACGACGCACCTGCTCTCGCCATCAACCGTCTGTTCACTATGACTCAGGGCAACACTGCAACACGGGACTGGCTCACGGAGTGGCAGAAGATTGCGGCAGTGCCCAATTTGAACTTACCATTCGAGCATTTGCGCCGTGAGTTCTATAACAGGTCCTGTGCTGCATTGAGCCAGGCACTTGGTGATCGCGAACAGTATGCAACCTTCGCCGAGATCATCGACAAGGCTCGCGAGATCATCAAGACCAACAGGTCAGCTGCACACGAGAAAGCAGCATGGCAGCCGACCTATGTGGAGAAGGCACGAACTGGTCCGCGACAGCAGCACTTCGCTGCAGTCCAGTCGGACAGTGGAGATAACCCAGCAGCCACTCCAGC